CATCGGTATAGATATCGGTTATTGGCTACATGAGTTTTAAAATATCGGCATATCGGATATCGGCCAAAATCCCAATATCTTGCATCTCTAGTTATAGTAATTAATACAGCTGAAAGGTCTCTCTGAGATGGTTATGGGGAAATATGAGGACATTGCTGTCAGGTATTTTAAAAGAAATGCTCATATCAATTTTAAAACAATTTTGTTTTTTAATTTATCTAAGTTTTTTCACTCAGTAAACATAAATTCATCAGAAATGTGTTTCTAGCTGCAGCATAACTTGAATAGCTTATCCTCTCTTTGTTGGTGCTAACTCCTGTGAGGCATTTCACGTGGTTATCTATCAGTGTCTGAAATCGGGTCTGAAGAAAGTTTCCTCCTCTCTTCACTTCCAGCTGTGAAACATTTCAAATGGAGATCTTTATTTAGTGAGTCACCAACCCGTAATTTCAGGGTAATTGTTTAAATAAATTGTAAAGACGAAATATTAAATTGATCTAAGGTACAAATCAGTTACAGTCTCTGCAAGCACATATAATCATAAGAAATAGATTTTGTATCAATATACTGATCTAAAAAAGTATAAATTCCTTTAAAATTAGTATATTTGCTCTTAATTTCAGCAGGTAAATAGTAATTAGAAACTATGCACTTGAAATAAGATAATAGCTTTTTGGGGTTTTTTTTATTTTTTTTAACATAAATCATATTGTTCCATCAGCAAACTGTCTGAACCTCCTGCTTAAATCAAGGTAATGAACATCAGGAAAAATTTATTTATATTAAATTTTTTGCAGCTTATGTTTTTTGGGGCCATAACGGGGGCCAGGACCAGTTCTACAGGGGCCCCTCTTGGCCCCCATCTAGGATTACCCATGGACATCTAACAATCCCCGCGGCAACACTGAAATCATGATCTCAGTGATTCACAACTGTGTTTTCTCTGTTTTGGTTTGTTTTTCTTTATCTAAGTTGTTTGTAGTTTATTTTCACAGTTTCCTCAGGTGCCCTCTGATACACAGAAGAAATAAAGGGGAATTCTTTATTACTGTAGTAAGAAGCCGGCTGCAGCAAAGCATTCCAGAACCATGACACTCCCAACACCGTGCTTCAGTTTATTCCAAACAAATGCTCCGTTCTACTGTCCAAACATTTCAAACTTAAATTTATCTCCCCAAAAAGATCAATATTCCAGAAGTTTTGGTCTATATCTATGTTACTTGTTTTTTTATGAACAAGTAAATGTTTCCTTCTGATCTCACATGGAAGTTAAACTAGCGCCATGTCTTGCCGTTTGTAGACTTTTCCCGTTCCAATAGCAGAACAAGGGGAAAGTGTTGAATGCAAAGAGTTCATTTTGTTGCTCTGTACTTGTTACAGTGTAATGACACTAAAACCCTGGAAAAAAAAAATAATTTTGAAGGTTTCTTTTATTAAAATCTCCCCTAATAACAACTTAAGAACATATATGTCAGCTATTAGCTGACCTCTCAATGCAAAAAGTTATTTAGAGAAAATGTGTTTTCATGTTCAGCATTACTCGTTTCTCCCTGTAGTAGTAGAAGAGGACCTGAGGAGGAGGATCAGAGCAGAGCTGCAGGAAAGTCTAGAGGAGGAGATCAGCAAGAAGAAACTGGAGCTCCAGCATCAGTAAGAACAACGCATTGTCCAATCATTACTGTATTCCTCTTAGCCTAAAATATGCATGTTAAAGTTTTGCTCTTAATTAAAAGCATGATTTAACTGCTACAGTAAAAAGGTTTTGCAGGTTTTTGCATACCTCATGATACTTATATTTAATAATTCTTGTGCTTTTTATCTTTTTGCAAGTAAAAAAAACTAGTTTGACTTAAAACCAGCAGCAATTATCTCTTGTCTCCTAATAAAGAAACAATGAATCAGACATTTTTCAACAAACAAATGTGTGCAATGTCTTTTTTTTTTTTCTTTTTTTTTTTTTTGCTGGCGAAGGCTTGAAGAAATCCAGGCCCTGACCCGAGCTGAGGCGACGGCGGCAGCTCATGCTGAGGCGGTGGAGCAGGTGAAAAAGACCTTGGAGGCAGAGAAAGCGTTGCACCTGCAGAAGCTGACAGCGTCCATGGCGACGGAGAAAATGCAGGCAGAGGATGAGAAGCTCAGGTTGCAGCTTTATGTAAGCAGAACATATTCTGGACTCGTATATGAAACATGACCTCCATCTTTCTTTCAATTTTTTTTTTTTTTAGTGGATGGAGGTTAAGATAGCATAGGAGTAGCTCTATTCATGCACATCTTTACTTTTGCGTGTTTACTTTGCTCTAAGCTCACATAACTGTGATGCTTTCCATGCAGAAGGAAGAAACATTTATATAAGCACGTGAAAAATTGGTGTATATGATGTACGTATACACTCAGGACCATTAACACCCCTTTGGACTTTTGCACATTTTATTTCTTTCGATCACAAGCTTTGACTGATGAGATTTTATGTGACATCATTTGCATTCAACATAAAGAGACTGAGACAGAGAAAAGTTGCAATTAGAAAATATTACATTTATTTATACACCTGCCAAAATCAAATTTTACAAAATATTTCTATCGAAGGAAAACCAGCTGATTGTGAAGACTCATTCACACTCTGCAATCCCTCGCAATGACCATGCATGTAGCAACAGTGGAGAGGAAAATTCACTTTTAACAGGAAGAAACTTTCAGCAGAAACTGGCTCCGTGTGAGCGGCCATCTGCTGAGGCTGACTATGGTTAGAAGAGATGGAAGCACATAAAGACATAAACTAAATAAATTATTTGGTGCTCAGGCCCAGGCAGAAGATTTGATGCTGTAAATCAATGTATGCTTGGTTGGATGAGTGACCTAGAAAAGGATTAGAGAAGTCTTCCCCCGGGGCCTGAACACTGGTGGTGGAATAAGCCAGAGGGTGAGTGGGACTGAGAATGAGGGAGGAGAAGCGGTGGAGGTGGGTGAAAGTTTGCTTGCATGTGGGAGAGAGAAGCTAGGCCAGGGGCTAACTGAAGAGGATCTATAAAGATGATTGGCTTTGGAGAAGGTGCGGCCCCAGGGGCTGAGGAGAAGCTAATAAGAGTCTTCCAGATTTAATCTATGCTTAAGCTTCATAATTGAAAGACAAATTAAACATTCTCTGGAAATTTCTTGCATTAAAGGAATAGTGCACCCAAAACATGATTAGCCTTTATTTTCTACTCACCCCCATGCTGAACA